GCAAAGCAAACTACAGGAAGTCTCTTTTCTTAGTGCTCTCTGTGAATATCCGCTGTTGCTAAAGTCATACTTTATCGCATGCATTTTAAAAGTGCTTTACCTATACTCAGTGAAGTGATTTGTATTTGAAAGTTGAATAAAAATCAATGAAGTATATGTAAAGAGCAACCCTGACATATCACCCTCGTCTTAAGGTCAGTCCTAAAGCTCAGCGAATTACTGAACCTTGCCTGGGGCCCAGGGCCTCACATATGTATAACACAGCGGTAATTGTGACAGGTATTTATTTAACTGCTGAAACTTTTCATTTCTGCAGCTGGTAAATAAGACCCGCTCTCTGATGTTCAGGTGTTTCGTTTTAGCGCCTTTCCTGCTGGATTCGGAGAGTCACGCAGGGGCTCTGTGACCTTGTGCTTTTAAAATGCTAGCAAGCCCCTCCTGGGATGGAGAGCACGAAAAAACCCATTAGAAGCCCCGTCGTCAGCCAGGATGACCGGGAACAGTCTCGGCAATGACAGAGATGACACCACGGCGTGCTCGGAAGGTGACTTACATTCCTGCTCAAGAACGGGATCCCATTTTTCTTCGTTAGCCAGTCAGTCATTAGCCTAGTTGCACATCTGGATCCCCACAGCAATTTAAGGGATATGGACTGTTCCTTCAAAAGTGTTAATTAGCCCAACTGGAGGGGAACATCTTGCTTTCCTCTCTTCCCTAATGTATTGGACAGATCAAGGTCTTTTCAAATGCAAACTTCCGGAGAAAGAGCAGGGGGAGAACCCTGGAATCGGTCTCCATCTTCCCACCTTTCCCTTTCCCCTTTCCGCCTCAGATAGCTGAGAGCAAACCCCTGTCAACACAAAGCAGGCTAAATAGCAGCTAAAACACACTGATTCTCATGGGAGTAGCGATATCTTTTGGGTGCTTTTTGCAGATTTGTTTTTTGTGCGTTTCCCTTAAATACTGCGCCTGACGACTGGCCATGTGAACTCTGTGCACCTTGAGGTTGGATGCCGGTGAAAGGTTTAGACATAAAACTTGCGTTCTTGTTGCAGTCATCCATCCAAGGCGGCTTTTTGAAGCTGGAAAGCATCGCCTGCGTCTGCAAGGTCAAATCCTGTCTCCAATGGAGCTGTGCTGGATTCTCTTGGATCTCTTGACTTGAGAACGTAAAGGTCACTTTATGCGTTTGTGTATTAGCTGCAGTATTTGCTCTCTGATGCAGATTTGTAGCTCAAATGTAAAGAGATTATATGGCTTCTTGTTTCTTGGTAAATACTGTGCTTAGCACTTTCACCTCACACTTCACATCAGTGGTGCTGAAGCCTTCCTGCTCTTGAATATAGGCTTTCTGTTTTGTCACAGAGACCAGCCCCGTTCCCTCTTCATGAAAATAGTTCAAATTTGCACCTACGTCAGAAAAGGGTCTGTGTCTTCTGCAGCCAGAGTTTTGCCAGTTATACACAGATTAAAATGTATTAACTGTTATATAGAAATTGCCCTGGGGGGTCTGTAGCATTTCCCTTTCTTCTGTGGAGGTCACATACTTTTTAAGGTTCCCGTGACATTTTGGAAACTACTTGCAAAAGGGTAAACACTGCCCACAGTCTTTGCCCTACTTAGAGTGACAAGTTTTTTTGTTTTTTTTTTGGTATTTTTCAAAAAATAACTATGAAACGGGTTACTTGTCTTTCGCAGATTGTGAAATTGCTGCGAATTCCCTGCTGTCTGCATGGCGATGCTCTGATGGGCTCTCTGTTGGCGGCAGCGATGTCTACAATCTGCTCTGTCGTTTAAACGTAATATGTATTGATTTATAAGGACAGTTCGTATTAAATTATATATCCTGAAATAATGCAATGTTCTAGACCAGGTCTCCTGTGCTCTTTGCTAATTCAGTCTCTTGGGGTCACTGCTACTTTAATAAAAATACAGTTGCCTGTGGCACACACACACAGAAAAACAGGCGCATTACAACAATTACTTTCCTTACAGGGTTAAGCTCCTGCCATTGAATTTCATGATATTTTGCTTCTCTTGCCAGCACAGTGTTTTCTAACACCGCTAAGAGAAAACACTTACCGTACAGCAACACGCTGAATCAGATCCGCCTGGTGACTAAGATGTAAATAACCTGGTTTCAGTCACGGATCTAAGGACTTTACGGATCTGTGTGTAAGGGCAGTCAGGAAGCGGGTGGTAAGCAAGCCTGTTTCTTAGGCCTCCACCCTGATTGCGCCGCTGTGTGTTGAAGCTCTGTCCTGCCCAGGCGCCAGTGCTGCTGGACGTGGTTCAGGTGGCACTAGCTGTGTCAGGCAGAGCAGGGGCCACAGGCAGGTGGAATCTGGAAGAGCCCTGTAAGCATCCCCTTGTCTTTGTTTGCTGTGTCAAGCTCTTTCGAGCTCCACGCCCTGTGAGAGCCTGAGATTTATTCTCGGGAGATCTCTGGTGCTGGACTGGTGAGTTTGCACCAGCTTGGAATAGCCCTGCCCTCTGCCCTTTGCCCTCTGCCCCGTGCCCTGCTGTTAATGCTTTCTGGAAGACCCTGCTGGTGGTTGGGAACCCCCCGAACCCCCACTGCGGCTTTCTCCGGAGTCCTTAAACGGAGCGGCATTTTAAAAACCTCTCCTTTATTCTCTCCCCTCCCTGGATGCCATTAGAAGCCAAAGCACTGTGGCGTTCAGGGAAAAGTAAATGAATTTCAGCTGATTTCTGACCTAAAGTTGGCCGAGCCTGTGTTTCAAGTTTTCTGCCCCCCCCCCACCCCCTCATTCTCTTTTATTGTTCTCCTTCTCGCGACATAATTATGTCTGAAATCTCTGCGAGCCAAAGAGGTCACCGAAAAGGTTCTCCATTTCCATTGAGATGAGTACTTCCTCTTAAGACGCGGCGAATCTGATGGCCCTCCCCTGCTGCAGCCCCCTGGCGTGCACACCAGCCTCTGACCTTGACATGCGCGGAGGGGAGCTGCAGTGAATCTGCCAGGCCCGGCCGCGTCTCGCCCTGCCTGCGGGGGATCGGAGAGAGCGGGCCGGTGGGCCAGGCTCGCGCGTGCAGGAAGCTGCTCTCTGGCACTTCCTGTGCCCTCGGTCACGTCAATGCTGTGCTGTAGTGGGAGAGCGGGACGGGGGGGGCGTGTCCTGTCGTAGCACCCGGACACTCATGGTTCCCACTTCTTCATGCTGGGGTTTGTGATAATGGACTGCGTACTTTTTGCTTTCGGACTACGAAGGATGTTTCTTTGCAAAGAAATGCCAAGACCTGTTTTTTCACCTCCCTGTTGAAAGTAAGAACATTTGAGCCAGCGAGTGGTGACAGACAAGAAGGAGAGGCCTTTTAGCCCTTTTTTTATCCCTTATAGGTTGTTTGGAGGGGCGGTTTTCTGAGTCTTAGAAGTTGCCAGAGAGTTGGCTTCAAAAACATGGCTGGATGGGAAAAAAAAAAGTGCCTCTTGTTTTAAGTTTTTGGTCATTTCCTCTGGTGATCTTGTGGTATTGTTGAGTTTGATGCGGTCTCTTGGGTTGGCTGTATAAGGAGTGGTTTTTAAGGGGTTTTAAAAGATCTGTCATGTATCCCCTGTCCTCAATGTACAGCAAGCTCAACAGCTCCTGTCCTGATCTCGGGTACCTGGGTGGGAGACCTCCTGGGAAAGCTAAAGTTGCTGCTGGAAGAGGTGTTAGTGGAACCAGTAGGGGGCGCTCACCCTGCGGTCTGTGTGGGTCCTAATGCCCCGGTATAGTGAGGGGGACACTATCCTGTAAAAAGGCGCCGCCCTCCAGATGAGACGTAAAACCAAGGTCCTGACTCTTCGTGGTCGTTAAAAATCCCGGGACATTTCTTGAAAAGAGTAGGGGTGTAACCCCGGCGTCCTGGCCAAATTTCCCATTGGCCCTTACCCATCATGGCCTCCTGATAATCCCCATTTCTGAACTGGCTCCGTCACTCTGCGGACTGGTGCACTATGGCTGCCATCGCATCATCCAGGTGGGGCTGCACACTGGTGGTGGTGGAGGGGATCCCCATTACCTGTAAAGCGTTTTGAGTGGAGTGTCCAGAAAAGCGCGATATAAGTGTAAGCAATTATTAATTATTATTTAATAATACACAGCAGCGCAGCACCGTGGTTCAATGCTTTTGCAGCAAAACGGTTGCGAACAGTTGCGGCAGTAATTTCTGAGGTTTCCGGGCTCCACACGAACACCGAAGGTGCGCCGAGTTTGTGAGCGCGCGGCCAGTGTTGGTCTCCAGCCCTCATCTGGGGAGTGGAGCTGACTCCACTTCCTGGCGCTCTCGTAGCGCTTGACAAACAAACACTGGCGCGGTGCGGCCCAGCTCCGACAGTGACCCCGCATTAAAGTCTCATTAGCGCTAATTAAATCAGAGGTGTGTTGGGGAGGAAAGCAAAATATCAATTAAGGTGATAAGTGGTAAAAAAGAAATGCTTAAATGTTAATCAATTTTAAAATTGTTCTGTGGTCCCGCGCTCCCATTCATTCAGTAAAACGTGCAGGAGGTGGGCGTTTGTTTTATGCTGTTTTCTTAGTTGCTGTTGTTTTTCCGATATGTGGATCTTAGGTGCGTCCAAGGCCTGAGGACCTGTGAAACGTGGTCTGCCTGTCTTCTCCCTTTTTCTCCTTCATTCACTGCAGCCAGAGTTTAGGCGAAACGTTGCCACGATCACGAATCACCGTCGCAATGAGGGTTTGTCTGAGCTGTCCAAGGCCGTAACTCATCTGCAGGTCACCCCACCCCACCTCCCCCTTCCAAAAAATGAAATGTTTGGAGTGTTACAGGAATTTATTGTTGTCCCTCTACTTGGAAAAGCTATTGAGCTCGAGTTCCAGAAATTAAAGTGAAATCCAGCTGTTTTTTTTTTTTCAGTGTCCAGATGTTTTGCAGGATGCAGAAGTTGCTGAGCTTGGCCGATTCAGGGATTCCGAGTGTGGGGGGGGGCTACTCGGCACCCCTGAGCTTCATGGCATCTACTGTGTGTCCCGCAGGTCCCCAGTATCGCTTGGAGAAGCAGAGCGAGCCCAATGTGGCTGTGGATTTAGAGGGCACGCTGGAGAGTCAGAGCACTCTGGAGTTCTGCCTGGTCAGGGAAAACAGTAAGTCTTCAGAATTCAAGTCATGATTTACAAGATCACAAGAAAGAGCCACAGAAAGTTCCATATTCAATTACTTGCCATCATTAGTATTTAATGACTTAAAGCAGATAAGACCATGATGGATTAAAGTGGGGAACTTTGTTTTCTTCAATAACACATTTCAAGAAGCCCATCCAAACACAAGGTCTGGGGAGCGGATTCGTTTCAACCGTCTCTGAATGAATCTTTCTGGAGCGACTTGCATGAATTATCTTAGGATCCGAACATGGGACGGATGAATAGAAGGCCTCCAGTACATTACAGCCTGACTTTTGGTACAGCCAGCTCCCTGATTATATCACCTCAATGGACAAAATGTTGGACACCTCCACCAACTGATGACCATTAACTTGAACAGCATCGTCACCTGTGGTCCATCCCATTCGCTGACTGCTCCCATCCCATTCTTCTGTCATCTGAGGTTGTCATGAGGGGAGGGGGGGGGCTATATTTCTGCTTGTGAATGGAAATCAAACTGCTTTGAAAAAGTACTGGTTGAGCCAAATTCCTGTAATGTAACGAGTTGGAAAGGTGGCTACTTGGCTGCTTTTGTCAGAGGATAGTAAGCTCTCTCGGTTTTTCACTTTGGCACAAATCTGTGAGCGTCGCCCTCCTCTCCCCCCCTGCAGGCTCCCGTGGGGAGGAGAGCTCGGAAGAGGACCCCCCTATCGACATCACCGCGGTGCAGGACATGCTCAGCAGCCACCACTACAAGTCCTTCAAGATCAGCATGATCCACAAGCTCCGCTTCACCACCGACGTGCAGTTAGGTAGGTTATTTTTTCCCAGGGGCTCTCTCGCGGGCCGCTGCTCTGCAGGGCTCGGACCCCCTTCACGCCCAGGCTGAACTCCGTCCTGCTGCTGTTCTGGGACTGTGAGCGCGACACAAACATGGGAGCTGTGGAGTGGCGTCTTCAGGGCAGAGGTGGCAGCACTTGTACAGAAGCACCAACACGAGGGATGTTTTATTCCTGGTGACCATGTTGGTGCTGTACTTCATGCAGGAACAGTAATTCTGTCGTGTGCAGGGCTCAGGGGTGTCCCCGCTTTCCCTCTAAAGCTCTTTCTGAGTGTCACTGCCGGATTTCTCCTTTACAATGTCTGGTGCCACCAGGTTTCACTTAAAACGGACACAGTCATATTAAAATGAGTTAAGGGCTAGATGAGATCATGCAGCTTTTTTTATAAAATTTCAATTCAGGATCCAGAGCAGTCATCCACAGCAAGCCCTCTGATGACAACTTGAATGAGATCACATCTGTGGCCACTTCACACATTTTCTCTGCGCAGTGCTGAATGAATGACATGTGACAGGCTAAAAATGTTTTACTGCAGGTTCTGCATTACAGTGTTGCGTGCAGTAGGTCACCTGTCTCACCATGTATACGAACGAGAGGATTCTTGTAGGTTTCTAATGGCACGATACTCATTACAGCTGCAGCAATGTAGATTAATTTAATAATTTTGCACAGTTATTGATTGAGTTTCCTCTACTTGCGAAGGACAGCAACTGTTGCTTTCTACCTGTACAGACCACCAGACAGGGACGTATTCTGCCTGTCGATGTGCAGATGCATTTAGGACGTCTCCCTGCAGCTCTGGGTGCCTTGAACTTCCTGGTCCAAAAATAAAAGGTTTTAAAGGTTGCAAAACAACAGTCGCTTTAACAAGCGGTTAACATGAAACACCTAAATAAACTACAGTATTAAGAATCTGTACAATCCTTATAGGCTAATAAGAGAAGATCACTTTATTGGCCATATACAATTTCGTGTATCAGGAATCTGTCTTTTCGCAGACCCCAGCTTGCTCTCCATGAGACACACAGACAGGGAGAGAAGCTTGGGGTCAGAGCGCAGGGTCAGCCATTTATACGGCACCCCTGAAGCAGCTGGGGTGAAGGGCCTTGCTCAGGGGCCCAACGGAGTAGGATTCCTCTGCTGGCTGCGGGATACGAACCGGCAACTTTCCAGCCACAGGCACAGATCCTGAGCCACAGAGCCACCTCACCGCCCCGAATTGCATAATTCTTAGGATAAATGTTCTTTAATGTCATTATATTGTGGCACATAGAGGAAAGGTGCTATTTGTATCTGCTAGGAGTAGGCCGCTGTCAGCTTAGTGCAGCCTGCGTGGGTCCCAAGCAGATGTGAAAAAGTGGTGGCTGGTTGGGTTACACGAGTTAGTCTCTTGTAAGGCAGAATAATCATTGTAAAATATATTTTTTTGTTAATATCTCATTGTTTTGCAAGGTGTAATGTGAAGAAGTCCACAAGTACTGCAGTAGGTGATTCGTGTTTCGGTTATCCGACGCGCACCGGTATTCGTGGTTGTAACAGGCCGCTGTCCACGTTATGGATGTCCAGTCTCTTTGTGCCATTATTCAGCCGGGGTCAGAATCTGTCCTGTGATCTGTGTGGGTCTGCGCCGTGGAAGTCAGACTGAACCATGCTGCAGAAATGAAGGAAACAAACCTGCAAAGGAGCATGGTAACGCTAAGTGTGTTTGACAGACCTGTGAGCCGTCCTGTCTTCTGGTTAAGCTACACCCTGACCCCCTGAGGCATCTGCCTTTCCAGGCTCTAGGCCTCTCCGCGTGGCAGTGTTGGCCTGTTAGCAGCTGTCCCAGGTGAGGCTCCTCCAGCACATGGGACTGTCGATGCCGCCCGAGGACAGGGAAGGAACCTGCTGTGCTCTGAATCCCAAATCGGTGAGAGGGAGACCTGAAGTACAGGTCTATAAACAGAAACGTTCGGGGCAGCCACGACAGGCTAAACGCCCACCTCCGACGCTGGAGCTGGCTGCCAGTCTTGTAACGTGGAGTGTTCGAGAGGCACGCTTGTCACTCTCCCTTATTTTAACCATGTATGAGCCCTTGTCTCGGAAATGAACACCGCTGATGAAACTTGAAAACTGTCTCAGCCTATTTGGGTAATAGGGGCTCAGTTTGCTGTATCCGTTTCTTGAGTGTAGGAATGTTTGCCTGTTCTGAGCTTGTCACGTCGGAGGAGGATTTATATTGCTGCGCCAAGGCTGGCCAGTGTTCGGCTGTGAGCTCCGCGCTTGACAGTTTATGTGATAGTTTGCTTCCAGTGAAGTTTGACTCAGAGTATCTGGAAGCTGTCTGAAGAGAAGGCTTGAAAAGGTCATGGCAGATCAGGAAAGATAAATGGTGGATACAGAGGACAGCTGTAAGGGGGATGGAAATAGTTCAACGTGTTCGAGAGTGGAGGGGCCGACCCCTGTCCTGAGACGCGAGGGCTGTGCTTCTTCCTTCAAAAAAAAAAAGGCTCGGCCGGTGAGGTTTATTGGCTTTTTCAGATGAATTACGGAGTCTGGCAGTTCCTTCCGAGACTCCCTCCTCGTAACGGCACAGCCCGGCAGCGCACCGTTCGCAAAGCGCGCTGTAACGTCCTAATTGAACCAAATTATAAAAAATGGCAGTGGAATTAATACAATGCTGCTGTTTAATAAAGCTCGTTAACTGCGTTGCGGAAAACAAATGGGGGGAATTAACGTTATGCTTATTGGAAACGTGTCGTTTCTCATTAAAGGGGGAACAACTCACTCACTCTGTGCTCTGCCTCCTACCCATCAGGACAGAAACTGCTAACGGGGTTTGAAAGCAAATATCGAACACTGATGCGCAGGGAGAAGGGTGCATGTGATCTCTAGTTTTGTAAATATGATATCCAGAACAGCATGAGCCTTCTGTCCCGCCCTTAACTTGAGCACGATCTTAGTCTCCTCTTGGGCGGTGTGTTGTTTTTGGCAGCCGAGAGAAGCCGGCCAACGTCCAGACAGTTTTGATTTTCGATTAATGACATAATGGCGGTAATCACAGAGGTAATGGCTTTCAGGCAGGCGTCTGGCCGAGTCCGTCACGGCATCATGAGGGTGGCAAAGTGCCGGGGAAGCACGGGCAGCTCCCGGCGGAAGAAGGGGAATGTTGGGATCACGGGAGCCGCCAGCCTGCTGGAATGTCCTTTTGCTTGGGGAGGCAGAAGAGGGGCCGGCGAGGGGGACTGGGGTGAAGAGCGAACGGGCCTGCAGGGACTCTGGGCCGGGGTGACGCTGGTGAAGAAGGGCCAGCGCTCAGCCACGCGGCCCGCTTTGTCTGGGGGCAGTGCGCTCGACTTGTACCAGGAAAGCAGCAGGGCAGCTGTCGAGCTCACAGTGCAAAAGCACCGCTGTCGTGGACGCCAGACGGCGATTGTGTGTTCCTCCTCGTGCGTGTGGACCTGGTGTCCTGTTTCAGGCAGGGCTGCCTGGTTTGCCTCACCCTGACTGCAGTGATGTGTGTCAGCTGTTTTGAGTGACATCTCTCCAGCTTGCTGGGCACAAGACCGGTTGTTGTCAGAGCGTGTCTCTCTGACGGAGGCCATGTGAAGCCCTGCGCTGCTGGGAGGCAGTTGATATGTAACTGATCATAAAGAAGAAAAAAAAATGGGAGCAGATCAATTCTTCCTGTAGGCCCATGATCACCCAGTGCAGCCAGCTCCCAAGACAGGTGTCAGCAGCAGGGCAGAGCTGTGAAGATGCAGAATGTCAGGTTTTGGGATCTTCTCCACAAGACATTGAATGGGAACACAGCTGGTTCAAATAACGGAGATCATTTTTGTGGCTCAGAAAACATTCAGATTCATTTAAAAAGGTTTTTACTTAAATTTCCGATAAGCATGGTCAGCTAGTAAATACTCTGTCCTTAACATTTGGGTAGTCGTTTATGACCAGTGCTCATACAGTTTCCAGTGTTATTTATTACTTCGGATGCTGTTTGTTTAGTGATCTGCAACATTTTTACAGTTATATACTGGCCAAGATAATAAAGAAGTCATAAACCAACTTCAGTAATCAGCAATAAAAATACCTTCTTTATAGTCATGTGAATCGGCGTGTCGGGTTAAGTGTAGCGTCAGGCAAGATTTCAGAAGGTGTCCTTGATTTAGACCAGCCGGTAATGTCTGCTCCGTATCGAAGTCCGCTATATTGATGAGCTGTGCACTAAAAAGCATTTACAGGGTTAACAACAGGGCACTCGTTTTTATTGCTGTTTAAGAAAAAAAAGCCACATTTCCTGTGTGGACAAACAACTAGGGATGAACAGATTTGAATGACATCATCTTTTTTTCAAATTGGCTGTTGGTTTTCTTTCTGCGGAAGAAGGCGCAGGGCAGAGCAGCGACTGCAGTGGGCTGCTGGTGGGGACAGTAATCAGGCCAGCGACAGGCTGGAGTGGCGTCTAGCGTCGCCTACCCGTGACCAGGGTGAGAGCTGGGCCTTTTTTACACTGCCTGATCAGGGGTGTTCGGCAGGGTGACAGACCGGGAATAATTTTTTGGTTAATTGCGCCGCGACGAACATGCAAACACCCTTTTATAAAAATAACACACAACACATGAGCGACTCTTTTCTTTAACGGTTCCTCTCGTGGGTCTCTTAGATGTTGTGTGCAGAGTGCTTGCTGCCCCTGCTGTATGAGCTCCTGGAGCACAAGGCAAGACGAATTGAAATTAACGCGGAGCGCAGCTGAAGGTGGGGAATGAGCAGGTGCATTTTTCCTGCTCACTATGGTAATGAGCCTGGGCCATATGCAGTTATTGAGATCATGGCCCTGTTTCTCTATTTTGTTCAAAGAAATTCCTCCAAGGAGACACGGTCTAGTAAACTGGACAGTTTTGTTTGGACACCGAGCAGTTTCTCTCAAGCATGTCCTTCAGGCAGGAACCCCTAATCCTGGCCATTCAGGGTCACAGTTGGGCAGGTCTCCA